ACTGTGGTCTCATAAAATGAATTAGGAAATGTTCATTCTGCTTTTATTTTGTGGAATGAATTGAAAAATATTGGCATTAACTCTTCTTTGAAACTCTGATATATTTCTGCATGAAAACCATCTGACCATGGGCATTTTTGTTTTATTTTGGTTGGGAGACTTTGAATGATTGCTTTTTATTTCACTTGGGGTTGTAGATCTGTTTAAATTGCTTATCTGATCTTGATTTCACTTTGGTGAGTAGGACATATTGAAAAAGATAGCCTTTTAGATTTTCCAATTTGGTACATTATAGGTTTTTTTAAAAGCAAGTCCTCATGACTCTCTGGATTTCCTCAGTATCTGTTGTTGTGTCTCCATTTTCATTTCTGGTTTGTTAATTTGGATATTCTCGCTCTGCCTTTTGGCTAGAGCTTGTTGATTTTACTGATTTTTCTCAAGAACCAACTCTTCGTTTCAATGATTCTTTGTATTGTTTTTGTTGTTGTTGTTGTTCACCTAGAAGTTTGCTTGTTTATTACCATCTACTCCTCTTGAATATGATTTTGTTGCTGTTGTTCTGGATCTTTTAGGTGTGTTGTTAAGTTGCAAGTATGAAATCTCTCTAGTTGTTTTACATAGACACTTACTGCTGTGATCTTGCCTCTTAAGTTTGGGTATGATGTGTACTCATTTCTATTCAGTTTTAGAGAGTCTTTGATTTCTGTCTTGACCGTGTTTTATTGAGTAGAAAGTTGTTCCGTTTCATGAGTTTGTAAGTTTTCTGCTGTTGCTATCCAGTTTTAGCACTTGGTGGTCCGATAGGATACAGGGTGTTATGCCAATTTCCTTGTATCTGCTGTATCTGTTCCTTGTATTTGGTTTGTGTCTGAGTATATTGTCAGTTTTGGAGGCAGTTCCATGAGGTGCTGAGAAGAAGGTCTATTCTTTTGTGTTTTGATGAAATGCTCTGTAAATGACTATTAGGTCCATTTTGTTTATAACATCAGTTAGCTCCAGCATTTTTCTGTTTAGTTTCGTCTGGATGACCTGTCTATTGGCAAGACTGGGTACTGAAGTCTCCCACTATCAATGTGTGAGGGTAAATATGTCATTTAAGCTGTACTCATATTTCTTTTAAAAAAAATTGGGTGCCCTTGTGTTTGGGAAATGGATGTTTAAATTAGTCAAGGTTTTCTGGGGTAACAGACCTTATAGAATGAATCTATACATTTACCATATATCCACATGTAAATACACACACACATGTGCACGCACACATATGTGTGTGTGTGTGTGTGTGTGTGTGTGTAGAGAGAGAGAGAAAGAGAGAGAGAGAGAGAGAGAGAGAGAGAGAGAGAGAGATGGGATTTGTTAGATTGACTTACACTCTGTGATTCAGCTAATACAACAATGGCTTCCTATGAACAGTAGGTCCAAGAATCCAGTAACTGTTCAGTCCACTAAGATGGCTGTCTTCAGTATATGTAAACTGTTCTTCAGTATATGCTTGACTCCTGGAAAGTAGGCTATAATGCTAGTGACAGAATGGGTTTGCTAGTGAGAGCATCAACAAACAGGCTAAGAGCTAGGCTTGTTTCTTCCATGTGTCTCATGTGTCTATATAGGCTTCCAGCAGAAGATGTAGCCCAGATTAGAGGTGGGTCTTCCCATCTCAAAATATCTGGATTAAAGATATGGCTTCCCACCTCAAAGATCCAGATTCGAAGTGGATCTTCCAATTTCAAATGACTTAGTTAAACAAAAATCCCTCACATGTGTATCCAGTCATTTTGGGGGTTTCAGCTAATTACAAATTTATTCAAGTTAACAACAAAAATATCATCACAATGCTACTTGGTCTTTTTCTCTTGATATTATTAATATCAATTTATATATTTATTGTTTGGAATATTTTCCCCATTTTAGTCTATTTGGTTTTCTGTAAACTTCTTGTACATTGATAGGCCTTTCCTTCTTTAAGTTAGAGAAATTTTTTTCTATGATTTTGTTGAAAATAATTTCTCTGCCTTTGACCTGTATTTCTTCTCCTTCCTTTATTTCTATTGTTCTTAGATTTGGTGTTCACAGATTTCCTGGATGTTTTATGCCAGGATTTGTTTAGATTTCATGTTTCTTTGACCAGGGCATCCATTTCTCCCATCCTATCTTCAATGCCTGAGATTCCCTCTTCCATCTCTCGTAGTCTGTTGGTGAAGCTTGCTTCTTTGTTTTTTCCATCTGAGTTCCTAAACTTTTCTTTCTAGATTTCTCTCAGTTTGGGTTTTCTTTACTGATCTATTTCTACTTTCAGGTCTTGGATGGTTTCATTCAGTTCCTTTCAACTGTTCGCTTGTGTTTTCATAGACTTCTGTGAGGAATTTATTCATTTCCTTTTTAAAATATCATATTCATAAATCCTGTTTTAAGATATTTCTTGTGTGCTTCAGCTATATCAGATTCTTCAGGGCCTGCTCTGGCAGGATTGCTGTATTCTAGTGAAGACATGTTGTCTTAACTGTTATTGCTTGTGCCAGACACTGGAGTCTGGGCATCAGGGATAGGGAAGATTGTAATTCTGGATGCTAATATCTGGTCTTGGTTTTGTAAATGGGACAGTTTGTTCCTTGGTTTCTAGTGCCCTGTCTGATCCTTAGGAGAATGTAGTGGCTGTATGTTGCCTGGCAGGAAATTCTTCTGGGTTCCTCATAGGTGTGGGTACTGGGGGTTCTAGGTAAAATGTGTTTCTGGGTGTTGGGGGCTGACATTTCAGAATGGGGATAGGGTGAGGTGGGCTGAGGGTGTTCACATACACGAAGAAAGCAGGGTACTCCAGCAGGACCTGTTTAGTTAGTCCCCTGGGGATGGGATCAGAGAGTGAGGAGAGGCCAGAGCAGAAGGTCCTCTATAGAGCTGGGGGTGCTGGGAGTGAGGCTGAGGGATTGGGCTTGGAGAAATGGAAGGAGAGATGAAGATTTGCAGTTTAGCCTACTTGCTTGCCTCATCTGAGTGTCCTGTGGGTTCTCAGGAGTGCCTACTGGAGTAGGGGGCTGGGACAAATAGTTTGGGGAGGGAGGTGGAGAGGAGAAGAACTTTAGGATCTACACAGGAGAGGAGGGAAGAGGGGAAGGGAGGCTGCAGCATGTCTTCTGTGGCAGGGCTGGGGATGAGGCTGGGGTACTGGGGTTGAAGGAACAGAAGAAGTGATGATCTACAGTTAGTCTGCCTGCTTCCCTGACTGGAGCAGTTGGAGAGGGGTGGGGGGTTAGTGGGGGACATCTATATAGTCCATTGCGGATGAAGGCTCTTTGAAAGGGGGGGTTGGTGCTTAGCATGTAGTCTGCTGTAGAGCTCAAGATGAGACTGGGGACTTGGCTTTGGAGTAGCTGATGAAGAGGTGAAGATCTGGCGTGTTAGTCTACCTGTTTCCCTAGCCAGAGGAAAGGCTGGAAGATAATACAAAACTTGTACATCAACGGAGTCATAATGCCACTGAAATCCTTAAAAATGGCCCATGAGTAGCTGAAATACCGCAGATAGATTAACCTGAACATCCCGTGAAAGATTTGGCTTGTGTCTAGATGCCACAGTAAACAGAGAGTAAGGATCCTGAACTTAAGGCTGCATTCAGCCTAGAGAGGTGTTCCCATAACAGTAACTCCCAGGGGAGATACCCCAGGTACCGTTGGGTCCTCTTTCTTCTCCCTCTCATTCCAGGGAACTCATTCGCACTGAAATAATGGCCAGAGTCACCCACTGCTCTTGTTAAACAAGTCACTGTGGGCCCTTACTCTCTGAGAAAGTGACTGCATTTATTAAGTTGCTGGCAGGCATGAAGGGATTATACTTCACTGCAGCCGGTGGTGAAAGTCTGCTCACCCCAAAACAGGAGATTAGCCCCATAATTAGCCCATAAGTCTCCTAAGGGACCTTGGGGAAGTCATCAAACACCCCTGGCCTCCAAAGGACAGTTAAAGTTTCTAGTAATGCAAACACTCTGTAATTGTAGTAGCTCCAGAAGGGAACTGAAGAGAATAGCCGGATACCCAACTTGTCCCCTTGCTCTATTCTCTGTGAACTGCTACGTGGCGGAGAAGTGACACGAAACTGTATTAATACAGCTGAGTAACAGAGGGAAGCTACCTGATCCCAGAGACCTTCCTGTTTAGCCTGCGCTGCAGTACTATCATGTTCAATGTCAGCACTCAAGTTCAGCTTCAGTAGAAATCTTCCTAACCCACACACCGAGGCGAAGCCCTTTATCTCGTTGCTATTTAACTGGAGAGTGCACAGGCTTGAAGTGAGGAGATAACTTTGTAGACCGAAGGAAGGAGGGATTTCTGTTGCCGCACAGCTGGATCATGCAGCCAAGAGAGCAAACTAGCTTCTGTGTCAGGTTCTGGAGGGATGGGCACCAGGCAGTGGGTTCTGAACGGTGTTTCCTCCCTTGCGCCTGATTCCCAAGGGCTCTGCTTGCCGAGGATCTAGCCAGCTCCGGACTTGTTCCCTGCTCTTTCACTTCTTCCCCTCGTGGAGCAAAGTGGGGAGGGGGTGTAGGAAAGACACACCAGGGGAATGTGTGTGAGTCTTGTGTTGCTCCTTCAAAGCTTCCAATTAAAGTCTGCAGAAACCTGATACTCTCTGAAAGAAAGAATTTTCTGAGATAAAAAAGAAATAAAAGAAAGAGCTCCTTCAAATACCACCAAGCAAGAGCTAATTACTCTATGAACGTGTTTTCAATTCTCCTCCCCCCATGTGTCTCTCTCTCTCTCTCTCTCTCTCTCTCTCTCTCTCTCTCTCTCTCTCCCCCTCCCTTCCTCCC